GGCTGAGTCAATTTTTAAAACATTGAAATTAATAACATGGACGTGAATGTAAAATTCTACTTAATATTAATTAAATTGATGTAAATGTTAATTAATTATAGTATTTATTACAGTTTGTAAATTAAATACATATTAAGAAACCAAAATAAGATATTCTTGAAATAATTGAATATAATTAAGCTAACAATAAAAAAAGAATACATAATTAAAGTAGAATAAAGTCTTTTGAATTAAATTAACTTTAAAACATAAAATACATTATTCATCCTAACAACAAGTTATTTAACCCTCATAATTGCGGAATTAAACAAATTATTAAATATCAAATCAAGTGATAATAATTTTCTGGACGATTCAACCCTTACTATAATTCAATTATTTCAATAATACATAACTTTTCGTTTTCAATATGTATTTAACTTTTCCAATAATACTCCATTTTTCATTTTTTAATATATATTTAATTTTTTTATCATTTCAATCATTCGAACAATGTTATCATTAATTATTTTGTCAATTATTTAGTTATAATGAATGTACATTTGATACATTGATTACCCCACTATTCGTTTTTCAATATGTATTTAATTTATTTAATCATATTTGACATATTCATTACCTTTTCGTTTTTCAATATGTAATTGATTTATTTAATCATTTGAATGATATTATCATAAATTATTTTGTCAATTATTTAGTTATGATCAATGTACACTTGACAGATTTATTCCACTTAATTGGTTAGTAAATTAAATTCATTAAATTTTTTTTTGAAACAAAATATGAATATTTTTAGAGTTTTCCTCCAATTAATTTATTCAATTAATGTGTATTTTTTTTTTTCATTTAGTAAATATGACTTGATAATTTCACATTGTCACAAAACTCGATTGATCAATTTGAGCACTAGGACGGTCCGATTCTCATAATTAGAAACGCCTCCAACTTTATTTTCCCGTCAAGTTGTAAAATATGTTTTGCATATGGGAATTACTTTCTTGCTTGCTTTCAATTGAATTGATAGGGTCCATAGTGAATTATTGTCTTCTTTATTACGTTGCTTCTACCTCTTTTTTACGGTTCTTCTCCTAATAGATTGTGCAAATAAAGCAAATTTAGCCAATGTTTGTCTGCCATTAAAACAAAATTTCTTTTTTTTTTTTCTTCTCAAATTTCTTTTCAATAACACATTCATACAGTAAAATATACATGAACGTAAATGATGATCTGCATTTTTGAAAATGAAATTCTAATTAGTATTACCTAAATGAATATGAATGTTAATTAATTGAGAATTAATAACAATGACGTGAATGTTGATGTTAATTAATTAAGAATTAATAACAGAAAATAAATACATGAACAAGGATTTTGTAATATTTATTATAGTTTGTAAATTAAATATATATTGACAAATGAAAAGTGAAGTATTATTGAAATAATTGAATTGTAGTGGGGCTATAATTGTTCAAAAAATGATTCTCACTTAATGTAATAATTAATATATAATAATTAAAGATTATTTTTTTCGTGTTGATTTTAGTTCGACTCCATGACTTTATACTTTGAATTACTTTATTCAAAAATTTTAAACTTAGATTAGCTTAAATTTTTTTTAAAAAAAATATCATACAATGCAATTAATTACGATTAGTATGATAAATTCAAATAACTTCGAGTTATCATACGTGACGGGGAACAAGAAACCGTTCCCTAGAGAAAATTTCTTCTAAAGCTCTTATAAATCATTTCATGTCTCATTGTCTTCGAAGATGCTATATGTGCTATATCTCGACTCATTTATCTACGAAATTGATGGGCACAACTTAGTTTATGACCTTAACATGATGGAC